AAGACCTTTTTAAAGTGTTGAAGAGCAGATATGTCAGCTTGAGGACTAAGGTGCGCCTGACCCAAGCCATGGTATTTTCAATAACCTCATATGCATGTAAAAGCTGGACAGTAAATAAGGAAGACCATAGAAGAATTGATGCTTTTGAGTTATGGTGTTGGAGGAAAATATTGAAAGCTCCATGGGCTACCAAAAGAACCTACAGATCTGTGTTGGAAGAAGTGCAGCCAAGAGTGCTCCTTAGAGGCCAGGATGGCCAAACTTCACCTTTCGTATTTCAGACGTATTGTCAGGAGGGACCAGTCGCTGGAGAAGGATATCATGTTTGATCAGAGAAAAAGAGGAAGACCCCCAGCGAGATGGATTGGCAACATCAATGGGCTCAAGTGTGGCAACAATTGTGAGGTTGGCCCAGGACTGGGCAGTATTTCGTTCTGTTGTGCACAGGGTCGCTCTGAGTCGTTACCAACTCCATGGCACCTAACAACAACAACATCACATATATGTGTGTGACAGAGATTAGTATTTATATGTATATACACTTGTGTTTGTGAGATTAGGATTCATATATACACACATGTGTGTGAGATTAGTTCATATGTACACATGTGTATGTGTGAGATTAGCATTCATATATATGTATCTGTGATATATATATCATCTATATGTGTATGAGAGATTAGTATTTATGTAAATATACACGTGTGTGCATGTGAGATTAGCATTCATATATATACACATGTGTGTGAAAGATTATATCTATACATGTATGTGAGAGAGAATAGCACTTACATATATGTATCTGTGTAATATACATATCTGTGTGTGAGATTAGTATGTATATATATATATATATATGCATGTGAGAGTCATTAGCATTCATATACATATGCACACATGTATGTGAAATTAGCAGATATATAACACACACACACATATAATAGAGTCCTGGTGTGGCACTGTAAGGTAAGCACTGGACCCCAAGGTCAGTTTGAACTACAAGGTTGGTGGTTTGAACTCACCAGCCACTCCTTGGAAACCCTATCTATACAGGTTCACTATGAGTCAGAACTGACTCAACATCTGTTGACAGAAACAATACACATCTATATGTGTGTGTGAGAGATTAGCATTTATATCTGTGCATGAAGATGTGTGTGTTTGAGAATAACTTTTATATTACACACAGAGCTTAGTTTTGAAGAACTAGTTTACACAATAGGGTGGCAATCAAGTCCAGAATCCACAGATCAGGAGACAGGCTGGAAACTCCCCAAGTCGGTAGGTCAGGCCATGAGGGAAAGAGGGAAATTCCAACAGGATGTCTTATTTATAATCCAGAGGCAGAATGTTCCCTCAGGAAATCGCCAGGTTTGTGTACGAGACCTTCAACTGATTGGATCAGGCCCACCCACATTGTGGCGGGTCATCTGCCTTACTGTGATCCAGTGATTTAAATGTGAACCACATGTAAATATCTAAATAGCAACATGTAGGCATGTGTTTGACCAAACAACTGGGCATCTTAGCCTAGCCAAGTTGACATTTAAGATTAACCACTGAGCATTGTTAAAGATGATCTAAATCACCTGTTCTGAGACCTGAGGGCTGGTATGAAATAATAAAAACAACTGTCGTAATTTCCCAGATTGCAGCTGTGTGCTGCTCAGACTGCTAAGAGTTTATTTAGATAAACTATGCTCAGAGATCATGAATATACCACAGACTCCCAGAGCT